CCAAAATTACTATGCCTAGAAAATGACCTGAAATCACTGCTGCCATCGTAACCCTGTTGGGTTACAGGGGAGAGCTGTCAAAGGTCAGTAAAAGTATTCTGGTCAGCAAAAGAAAAACAAAAAGAAGCAAAACCTTGACTTCTAGGCCACTACTGACCCAATTCAATAGTTTTTCACGGATAACTCGGAAACAGTCAATAAATAAATATTCCTTTCGATTTCCCTTCATTGAAATCCATGATTAATTGCCTTTCACAGCAGAAATAGCACATTTAGCTTGAAAAAGAACAATCTGTATTACTTTTCTCAAGATATGGTCTGGATATATGTTCTTTCAGTTCCAGTTTAAGAAGTATTTTTCCCAACTTTTTAAACTTATGTATTTATTACATATTTGATAACCAATCCTAAAAATAAATTATTAAAATAAGAAATAAAGATGTTTCAGGCCTGTAACCCCAGCACTTTGGGAGGTCAAGACAGGAGGATCATTTGAGACCAGGAGTTTGAGACCAGCCTGGGCAACATAGGGAGAGCCCGTCTCTACAAAAAAGTGAAAAAGTACATAGGCAAGGTAGTGCATTCATATAGTCCAGCTACTTGGGAGGCTGAGGCGGAAGGATCACTTAGCCCAGGAGGTCGAGGCTGCAGTGAGCCAAGATCAGGTCACTGTACAACAGTCTGGGCAACACAGTGAGACCCTGTCTCAAAAAAAGGAAAAAGAAAAAAAGAAACGAAAAAGAAATCGAAGGAGGAGGAGGAGGAGGAGAAAGAAGGATCTAAACAGGTGATGGCCTCCATGAAAATGCCGATGGCTGCACATGTCCCTTAAGTCAATGAGAGCAGAACCAGGCCCCGGTGAGGCAGGAGTCACATTTATGTAATGGCCTGCCCATTAGCCCTCTAGTCTAGAAATGCTTGTTGTCCATGGGCGTTCAATAATCTCTTCTTTTTCCTCGGACAGCTTTAACTGGGGGGAGGGAGGGACTGCGATCTGTCAAGAGTGGTTTGGCTGCAACGCTGTCTGGAGGCGTGAGAATGAACTCCAAGGCAGCTCCAGCATTGGAATAAGAGTCTGGGCCACATTCAACATCTTTGGTGTTCAATCGCTATCACTACTGTATTTGGCCACAGAAAGAAGGGGCCGCTCCAATCCTCTTTACAATTACGGCTCTAATTATTACATTATACTTTCACAATTTAATCCCTTTTTTTGCCTCACTGCCTTTGTGGGGCTAAGTGAGCACCACAGTGTGATGCCTGATGATGTAGCTAGCGGGGTAGCCTCACCAAGTGCTGCGCAGCTGCCAGCTCCAAGCACAGCCAGGTGGGCAAGTCCAGAGTGCTAATCTGGACAGTGACATCTCTGTCTCCTGCTCAAAATCCTTGAAACTTGCTCTCTCCAATATGGAGTAAAACGGAGCACATACATCAATGCCAAGAATCACCCTGCGCTTTGCTCTGTTAAGCTTTTGGTAGCATTTCAGCATCCTAAAGAATAATCATGCATAGAATTCCAATTGTTCTATTCTAATGATTGCTCAGTAAATAACTATTGCCGAGCTATTAATGTCTAACCTGTAAGATTTTTTGAGACAAGGATCAGGAAATGTTTTCACATTGTTAATCTATCATTACCAAACATACTGAAGACCCAATGGTTTAATCCCCTCAAACCCAAAAACTGGTATTTTCTCATGGCAGGAGACATTTGTCAGAGGAATTCATCTCAATCCACAACCTTTGGGAACAAAGCTTTAATAAAATGTGGATAAGAGGGCACTCCGACCAGCCTGCTGTCTGGATCACAGTAGGTTCTCAGTAAATATTAGTTGAACAAATGGGAGTGGTTTTCACATTGAGAACCTCTTGCTTATATCAGCGTACTCGGTGCTCATAAATTTAGCCCAAAATATTTGCTTATCTTTGTGTAGTTAGATGCAGAGCTGTGTCAACTGAGTTAACAAAATCAAATTAATAACAGTTTAAATTGTATATACCATGTAACCGTAAGGGTTATAACACTGTTGAACAGTGGCTGGTAAACACCCAAAGATTTGAGGTGTGCTTTCATTCTCATTCTCAAGTTTTGCAGTGTTAGCAAATAGGCTAAAGAGATTTCTTCTCAAATGCCCAAAAGTGATGAAAAGCCTGTGCGCAGACCACCATTGTTTTAGCTTACTTGCTTTCCATGTGATTTTATATTTCATTTTAAATTTAAGTATTCTGAGGTTAATGCCTTCAATTTATAAATGAGGATGAAGAAGATAAAGACCCAGTAGATGAAAGATTTTTGAAACAAAATATCAATAAATATAGCAACTGATGAGCCAGAAATTATACAGACACAGTTATGAAGATATTTAGAAAATTCGTATGTACTGCACACTAACTTGGCTTTGTGTTGTTCATTTAAAACTATAGAAGGCTATGGAAAGATTAGGATTAAATGTCTCATCTACTATGTAAGAGTGTGATGTCCTGAGAAATTGCGCTTTAAGAAAAATTTTTTTTTTTCTGAGACTGTGTCTAGGTCTTTCTCTCCAGGTTGGAGTGCAGTCATGGCTCACTACAACCTCCAATTCCCGGGTTCAAGCAATCCTTCTGCCTCAACCTTTCCAGTAGCCAGGACTACAGGCACATGCCACCATGCCCAACTAACTTTTACAGTTTTTATAGAGATAGGGTTCTCACTTTGTTGCCCAGATTAGTCTTTTGAACTTTTGACTTCAAAGGATCCTCCGGCCTCAGCCTCCGAAAGTACTGGGATTACAGGCATGAGCAACTACAATTGGCTAAGTAAATATTTTGGTTGTGTTCTCATCAGCCACAGATCAAGGAAGCAGTATAATAGACAACAAAAAACCAAGGGAGAGACAGTACAGCATATTCCACTAAGGATTGTCACTAAAATCTTCAGTTCAACTGATGGAGAAGAGTTAAATTTCCAGGTGCTCTTCAAAGGGAAGGTGGGGGCCAGGTGGAGTGGCTCATGCCTATAATCCCAGCACTTTGGGAGGCCGAGGTGGGCAGATCACAAGGTCAGGCGTTCGAGAGCAGCCTGGCCAACATGATGAAACCCCGTCTTTACTAAACATACAAAAAATTAGCCAAGCATTGTGGCGGGCACCTGTAATCTCCGCTACTTGGGAGGCTGAGGCAGGAGAATTGCTTGAACCCAAGAGACAAAGGTTGCAGTGAGCTGTGATCATGCCATTGCACTCCAGCCTAGGCCACAAGAGCAAAAACCCATCTCAAAAAGAAAGAAAAAAAAAAGGAAGCTGGGAGACTGCTCTATGTACATATAAACGGTTTCGGAATCATGTTTTGTGAAAATATTTAAAAGGATTAGTACTTCACCAATACCACTTCTTTTGTACTTTGAAAACTAGCACATCACAGAATTATGAAGGCTCCAAATAAGTTGGTTTAAGTCCTGTTCAACAAGGGACCATTAGATGCTGATGGTCTATGATCAGTGGTTAATGAGCAGTAGCATGATCGGCAGCAGTAGGTTTAAATTTGAATTAGCATCAGGATTACCCAGAGGGTTGGTAAAATGCAGATTGCTAGACCCATCCTCAGAGACTCTGTTTAATACACGACAGGGCCTGGGAACTTGCATTTCTTACATTTTCCCAGATGATGCTAATACTGCTAGTGCAGCCACTGACCTTCAGAGCTGCTGGCAAAGAATACAACACAGAATAATGCAGTGGTTCTTAACTTTGGCTTTACATTAAGTTTCACCTAGAAGGCTTTCAAAAATGCCCCCATCCCTGGCTGTGCCCAAGACCAATTAATTCAGAATTTGGGGACATGAGCCCTGGCATCAGTATCTTTTTTAAGCCTTCCATTTATTCCAATGAGCTGGCAAGCTTGAGAACCACTGATATGTGGGAAGATAAACTTGGTGTCCGTAACCAGTTATGAAGAAGGCGTACTTTGTAACCACTGAGCAGAACCATTGGTGTGCTGTGGAACTTCAGTATATATATATATTTTTTTTCCTTCCCCTATTTTCTTCAAAAGTGGATCACAAGAGATCTAAAAAAAAGTGACACCTAATTTTCTGCCAGAATATATCTCTATAGCTTGTTAATGAACTGAATTCTGTATCTGGAGATCACCAGTTTAAAAGGGCATAAACAAATTTCAGTCCTATTATTCTACATTGTATGGGGTCAGTAATGTTATTTATAAATGTGGAAATCTAGGAAGTTTGGGGTATGTATCACTTGTATATGTTGGAGGTATATTTTATCATTCAATGACATTTTATTGGTATAATTTGGAATTCTTTTTATAGAAATTCATTTAAAAGTTAGAAAAAGCATATCTAACAATAAGAAAAAAAGAAAGATAAATAGGTAATGACATCTGTCTAAAGCAGTGGTTCTTAAAATTGGTCCCTGGACCAGCAGCATCATCAGCATGACCTGAAACTTGTTAAAAAATATACAATCTTAGGCAGGCCCCCTGCCCAGATCTAACGAATCAGAAATTCTGGAGGTAGGATTCAGACCTTGTATTTAACAAGGTTTCCAGATGATTTTAATGCACACTGAAGTTTGGAAATCACTGGTCTAAAGTATTTGTTATTTCCATGCGTCTGTAAAAAGATCCAAAGGGGTCAAAATCACTTAGTCCCATGTGCATTTGTACAGTTGCTATATAGACTCACATAATATAATAATATGGGTCTATATAATAATATGCTCTAATTATAAATACACCTTTGTAAACTCTCCCCAAAGTTTATTATCCTTGGACCATTAAAGCTTAACAGTAAGAGGAAAATTAACAGGTATGGAGTATATCTGGGGGAATGTTATCCTATAAATCTTCCACTATCAATTGTAATCTATTTCTCTTTTCTATTCAAGATAGAATTAAGAGTATGGAACTTGACTTATAAGAATAAGAAGTAGGAAAAACAGAAAACAACCCATCACGTGAGGTTGGAAGCGGGGGAGGGTATTCCCAGGTCCAACACTAACCTTGAATTGTCCTCTTGAAGAATGCCTTGCAGGCTTCACATGAAGCTACCCCATAGTGGTACCCAGAAGCGATGTCACCACACACTAAACACAGTCTCTTGGGCATCGAGTTGAGCATGTATTCACACTTGGTCTGGGGATCTTCAACAATGGTGCTGGAGCAGTCATCATACAGTTTCCTGACAGGCCCACTACCTCCCAGGATAGGAGCAGAAGGGTAGAGAGGTGGCGAGTCAAGTCCGTTCTGATGGCCATTCATGGTTGAACTGTAGCTCCCACTGGCGTCTGACGAGCCACCAGGGCTGTGGTGGTTGACGCTGTCCGTCAGGGAGGCCGGGCTGGAAGGTTCCGTCTTGATGAAGGACGAACAGCTGGAATCAATGTGTCGATCTTTGTTTGACATTCTGCAGAGAAGCCTGAGATTGACAGAGATACAAACAGAGAGAGAAAGAGGAGAGGGTGTCAAACACAGAGACCAAAAGAACAAAAGAGATGGTGAAAAAAGAGAGAAAGGGAAAGGGAAAGTTAAAAGGAGAAAAAAAAATACAGAACTCATACGTTAAAAACATCGCTCTTTGAGAGTGTTTCCTAAGGGCTAGGGACTACACATCATTCATTCTCTAGTCAATACTTCTTGTTCTACAAGAAGTTAATCAGCATAAGGGCATGACAGGGTTACATCAAAGGGCCCAGACAGGCCATAAACAAAAGCTCTAAAGGGTCCAATGCTTTTATTTTACCTTTCTCTTGGAGAACCAGTGTCAATATCTAAATTAACTCTAGATTCTAAATTTATCAATGGAAGAGGTGGTGATTTGCAAAGTCTATACCATTTCTAAAATTGTATTTATCCTCACTCTACCTTTCTTTCCTCATTCTGATGCTGCAATCATTTTATTATGAGCAGAATAAAACTTTTGTTTTCAAGACTGAACAGATGAGCCTCAGCTCTGTAATTACTGTTTGTCAGCATGCTTCCATAAGCATAACTGTGTCTTTTATTGATCTGACTAAAACACATAGGGAATATATCTTCAGTCACTTTGTCTCTTTATTTAAATTGCTCTATTTCATCACCATTTGGCAATATAGAAAGACATCAAGTGTAAAATTCCAGCCAATATTTAAAGATTACTTCCCAAAGCCTGCAAAACTTAGTGACTGGTCACCAGTATTGGTTAATAAATATGTGCATGTTTCTTGTGTGTGATTTGTCATTGTTTAAAAGATGAATCAGTAAAAGCCATTGGAGCCTTCAGTATACTCATGAGTCCATAAATCTGATATTATATTACCTGGTATTATAGAACCCGATATTACATTCATATTCAGTAAAATAGAAATGTATCAAATTTTGTCCCCAAAAAAGATATTTCCAATGGTCCTTCACCCACTTTGTCATTTAACATTATGCTTCCTGAATGGAAAAATGTCGAAGCATCTATTCTGACACACTGTTTCTCTTACCTAGAAGACATGCGTCATCCCTTTCGTTGGTCACATTAGTGACCAAATTTCTGGAAACGTAATTAGATGAAAAGATATCATCAGTCTTATTTTCTTTTTGTTTAGCCATTGTGCAAAACCTCATTTAGCAAAATCTCTAAGAACCTTCTGAGAGCCCACTATAGAAAGAAGAGGTGACAATCAAGAAAAGGACTTGGATAATTGCTTCCCAATGGAAAACTGATTTATGGGAATCCCTCTGGGTAATGGTCATTCACTATAATTTGGGGGACTCCTCACAAGATAACCAAAGAGATGCAACTATCTCTCTCACTATACTTCTAATGATATTTGACCACTGCACAAATTTTACACCCTCCTCCAGATTCTCTTTCCCCCATTGTTCTGTTACTTTAAAATGAAGAAAAATATGGAACTTTTCTGGCAGGAAGGTTCATGTAACTCTTCCAAGAAGGCTATCTCAAAAGCAAAGGACTGAGGCAAGATTTGCCTCTTACCAAAGATATTTCACTTTGAGAAATTTTGCACAGCTTTCTAAAGTCAAGCAGTATCAAGATGTGAAGAAAGCAAATAGGAAGGAGAAAGCCACCAAAATATCTTCTTGCCTTCACCCACCCACGTGTGTTGTCCTTTCCTCAAGAACTAGTGAAAGAAAAAAATAGCCCCCTCGCCAGCCTGAACTACGGCGTCCTCTCTCTTCTGCATCTGCTGCCTTGTACCCGTCACTGCTAATGAACGTCGTAATTAATAGATCGCTCTCCTTGTCTCCTTAGCACTCTGGGCTAAGCACTTTCCTCAAGTCAACGTTTGAAAGAAAGCGGGTCGGCACTGACTTACAGCAGCCCTGCGAATTCCTTTTAATTTAGAGCACTTACACCACCACTTCACTTATTACCTTATAATTACTGGACTGCGCGCACATACATTATGATCTTAGACTAGAGTTAGAAGTTATTAGGGTACTAAACCATGCTTGCTCCCCTTTCCTCTCTCCAGCACTGAATTGCTCACAGCTATGACAATTAACTCTTTCACCATCTGCCTACAAGGCCCCGTTTTTTAATTTGGAAAATTATTTTTTCATCCAGAGGAGAGTTGCTTGGAACTGCTTGATCACAAAACATATGATTTCTTCAAGCGCTCTTTTTTTTTATTTTTTATTTTTTCCTCTCTCTCTTTTCCTGTATCTTCTATGGTCACTTTCACCCCAAATTTTTTCTTTCAGGCTCTTGCTCGTGGACTTGTAAAATTTGCAGAACCCTTGATTTAAAGAACAAGGCCAGAAATTACCCTCCCATTTCTGGATCAGTTATTTACTAAGCCATCAAATATTTATGTGTCAAGTGCGTGTCATTAAAGTCCCTGAAAATAGGGACTCTCCAGCAAGCTGTCTCATCCAAAATCTCAGTCCATAACTTGGCAATAGCCTGGATAAGGCAAGGAAATTCAGGAGCTACAAGCTGCCAAGGAGGTCCTTGGAACAGAAGCAATATCTTCTAAACAAGGTCTGGCCAGCAGAGCCATAAATGAAAGTGAACCAACTGGATTTGTGCAGTAGGTTGAACATGTTTTTGCCCTGCCATGAACTGCTTCCTTAATTAATATCTTTTACCCAGTGGAAATAGTAAAAGTCAGAACTGCCGTTTATCAAGCGCTTATTATGTGCCAGGCACTGAGCTGAGCTCGTTACAAATATTACCTCATTGAATCCCCAGGATAACTTTGGAAGAAAGGCATTTCTCTTTAGGAAAATGAGCCTCAGACCTTTCAGAATTTGCTGAAGGTAGGAAGCAGTACAGCCTGAATTTGAACTCAGGTCCGACTCCAAAGTCTAGAGCAGAAATGTCTTGAAGCCAACAGAGTTTTTAATGGTGTTTATTTACTCAATTAAAAAAATAACCAAGCAAGCAAAGTAGAGGTGGCATGCAGAGATACGCTTTTCTTTTCAACAATGACATCCACAGACCACCCATGAGTGGAGAAGGGCTGAAGGGGCCACAGCGCTGGCTGCAGGTCTGTCCTACTGCCTCACCCACCACAGGGTTTGGAGTGACACCTAAACAGAATCTCTGAACGAACACAGTTGTCTCCTAATTACTACTTAGCTCATTACACTGAACACTTCCTAGACACTATTATGTTTTAACCTAAAACTACAGTGAGTCTTAATTCTCTGCCTCACTGTCTCTGAAATTCTACAGCTCTATTATTCAAGCCTGAAATATTCACAACTATCTATAAATTCAATTGTCAGCTGGTGGGTTTTATTCTAGACTTCACTTCAATCTAAAATTAGAGGCACTAAAATTCACATTAACTCTAAGAGGAATGTAGTGAATAGGACTTTATTTCAAAAGAACACCTTTTTGTCAGAAAGAGCCATTTTCAAGATGATGGCTTTATCTGTAGCCAAAGAGAATAAGCCCAATTCCACATTGTGCTCTTAATGCAGAAATTTAAGTCACATCGGATTAATAAAAATCTAAATTTAGTTAAGAATTATGAATAGAAATAACATGTGTCGAAATATGTGGGAAATATTTATTTTAAAGCCTTAGTATGGTTACCATTATTATTTTAAGAAAAATGATGAAACGGACAGGGAGTAAGACCAGCTAGCTCCCTTCCCAAAAACCTCTGAATGAACCCCCTGAGAATAAACTGGAGGGGGAAATAACAATGTCAAGAATAACCTTTAGTTTCTATATGAGACACTAGATTTGAGGAATTTACAGACTTCCTGAAATTTCAGGGCTTTAAAAAGCATTTCAACAGAATTTGAGATACAGCATCAAATAATTCTGATGATCATACTTCAACCTAGGAAGTCACTTCCTATCCCTGCTTGGGGTCAGCAAGGGTAAAAATCATCTAATGATCAAGCAAATAAAATGTCTTAGTTGTTTGACTATTTAAAGATACAATTTTTGAAAGTTAATTGATGGTGTGTAGATGCGTTCACATAGAGTGAGAGAAAGAAAGAATAAGAATCAATTAAAGTTGCTGCTGTAGGGGAAAAAAGGATAATCTGTGTTAATGTTCGATTTACATTGTAATTATCAAGCTTAATTGTTTTTGGAGATTCCACCTACAACCAGGTAAATGTGTGATCGTGAATGAACTGCATGATTTTGAATTTCCACATGCATGTGCTGATGTTCACAGCGGTCTACATTTCTATGGTGGGTCTGAAGCTCAGCCAGTACTTCTACTTGGTAAACACTGGTACAACAATAACGTTCCACTGGGTTATACATTTTTAACCCTTTTATTGAAATACAAGTTCTTAACAAGCAGCTGCATTTCATCATGTGAATTTTACACAGATCTGGAATTCATTTGCTACTGTATTTCCCCACTAAAACAAATGTATAAATGAATGGGAAAATGGGTGCATAAAATTCTCATAAGGAATGTGTGTACAGGTCATCTTAGATCTTCTTGTTTGTTACACTAAGGCAAGATCTTCTTATTATATTATAAACTTTTATTATATTTATACCAATAATGAACCTTTTGGTAGGCTAAATAAATGTCAACTAAAGACGTCAACACATTTTCATTTCTTCTTTGTCATCCTTAAGGGCCTAGAAAGGTTATCATTATAAATTCCAATGCTTTAAAAATTTGTTTTCAATATTTTTGTGTAAGGACACAACACAGCAAACCTACAAGTTTACATACAAATACAGAGACGAGAAGAGTTCCCACCTCCTCTGTATGATTCAGCGGAATCATAGAATTTCAGGGATGGAAAAGAAGGTTATCAAGTCCCACCACCTAATCACTACTGATTCAAAACAAAAATGAACCTATGGAAATTGGTTGATTTTCTATATTCTGAAATCACCAGACTAAATATCTAAGTATTTGTGTTTAAAAAATAGAAAGCTTTTAATAGCCTAGTGTGTGTGTGTGTGTGTGTGTGTGTGTGTGTGTGTGTGTGTTA